AGTCTAAACTTCGCAGCCAGAGCTTACTCTCAGCTTCCTCGTAGTTAGTTTAGCATTGCTAATTCCAGTATTTGTATTGCCAACACTTGCTCTTAGATTCCTCATACTTAGTTTAGCGCCAAGGCATACTTTGAGATTCCCGGTACTTAGTTTGGTGTTGCCAAATCAAATTGCGTATTGCCATTGTTAGTTGTTAGTATTGCCAATTCTACATTCTGAACTGCCTTAGATTCCGAGCGCTTGTTTTAGTGTCTCCGAGTCCAAGTTCTGTGTGGCCAATACTTACTCTCAGATTCCTCTTCCTTAGTTAAGCGTTGCCAATTCTCACTTCTCTCAGATTTCCAGTACTTAATTTGGTGCTGCCAAGTCTACACTTCGTATTAACACTCATTCTGAGATTCCTTGTGCTGAGAGAAGCATTGTAAATAAATACAGTATTGCCAAGCCTTACTCAGATTCCCAGTGCATTACCTACTTTGGTGTTGCAATGTCTGACTTTGCATTTTAAATGCTTACTCTCAGGTTCCCTGTGCTTAGTTTGTATTGCCGATTTCAAATTTCGTCTTGCCAAGACTTCCGAGTGACTACTTCGACGTTGCCAAGTCTAATTTCGTATTGCCCACACCTACTCTCAGATTCCTCGTGCTTGGCTTAGCTGGAATTGTCGGGACCCGCTTTGTGTGACTGTTTGTTCAATCACGGGTTTGTTTGCAAATTGGTTTGGGGACCGCTTCAAGAAAAGGATTTCCTAAATCTAAGAAAGGGCTTCAGCGAAAAGGGCTTGGATAAACCGTAAGCCACCCTTCAAAAGCAAACGGTTAAGGGGCTTGGGTGTATTGTTGCTTTTTGTTTTGCCTTTTTTTCCGAACATTTGGCAATTTTATTGAAAACGGCCCTCAAGACTGTCACAGGATTCTGAATTTTGAAAACACGTCCTATAAAAGCCATAGATAGAAGAAAGCGGGGCAGCCCAGGATCTACGTGCTGATTTGCGTGGGCTTGGCTGTGGATTACGCGGCACACATTGCGCACATGTTCAAGGACACCAGATCTCAGCGGCTTCCAGGCGTTTCGCTGGTAGACCTTTCCATACTACTGAATTCTGGTGAAGTGTTCGAAAATTCCATTCAAAGATGCATCTTGGGTGAGCAGCTGAGCGATGCTATGCGGGATAGAGGCTGCATCGAACACCTGCCCAAGCATCACGCCCGCTTCGACACCACACCAATCTAAGTGCAGAGACCAAGCCGGCTACGTTCTTGAGGTGGAGCTCATGCTTAGGGTTTGGCCAGAAAGAAACTGATTCCAACCGAGTGTTGTCCAAACGCGTGCTTCCCTTCAAGGGCCAGCGCAAACACGCGGGTTTTCTCAGCAGAACCTGCAGAACATCCAAAGAAGCTTTTGCTTGTTCTCTCAGGAGTCCACCGGCACTGCGCGGGAGCGTGCCATTGCGTCCATGGAGCGCATTGGGCCCTGCACTTTTAACGCGGTGGTCTCCACCCTCCTGGCAGCACCCTGGCGATTGCTGGCTTTGAGTGTGATCTGTTTCTGAGTTTGACTTTATGATTTGAGAGACCTGACTTTTTCGCGCATGGTCTACAAGGAAAATCACACTGGGGCTTGAGTGGACTGGTAGGAAGCGGGCGAAGGGCACGACACTCTCCTCTCAAACGCACAGCTTTGCTTGGGAGATTGGTCGCAAGTCGCAAGGTGTCTACACCCATGCAATTAGGGGATGCACTTCTTTCATCTGGTCATTCCCGTCCAGGTGCTTTCTAGCTTTCTCCCCATTCTGCTCTTCCCTTGTCTATAGTGAAGCTGTAGCATCGAGAAAGAAAAGAACATCTGGAGCTTGCTTCAAGGGGTCCCTTGAAAGTTGCACTCATGGTATGAACATTTATGGCAAAGAAAAGCATGTGACACTTATTTGCTTCAGCAAGCAGTAGTTTGACAGATTTTGTTGCTCAGCCCGTGTTGATCTTTGACCGCGCTACAGTGAATTAGAGTTAGTTGTCACGTTTATCAACGTTTTGCATAGGCCTTAGCCTTCAGGTTAGCGAGTTGAACGCTTTGCGACATGGAAAATCATTGCGAGCCTCACAGGTGGTTGTCGTTGGCTTCTCCGAGAGCTATGTCTTCAGGATCTTCTTCAAGGTGGGGCTTCAGGATTCGATCGGGGCCAAGGGTCGGTTTCATGCCAGCGAAGCACAAGCTTGACAAGAAATCTTCAAGAGCACATGGCAGCCGATAGCTGAAGTGAAAGGGGGGTTCTCTGTTTTTTTGTTGGAGCCATAGAGGTTGGTCGATGATCATGATTGTTTTGTTGTTGCTTGGACACGTTTGGACACTCAGCCCGTAACAACCCGCACTTTTGCCGACCAACCACGGTACGGCAAGCGGGTTTCGAGGTGACAGCTATGGAGCCGAAAGGCGCAAGTTGCGCCTTTTGGGCCCGGGATGTTCGACAAGTCCATAGTTCTAGTTGCCTAATTTTCAATGTCAGCCACAAGATACACTTTTTCGGGTGAAGGAGCAAGGACACCCAAAGTTCAAAGCTTCTCCGCAAGCCCAAGTGAGGTGCTTTTCCTGGTGGTGACCATTGCGGGTGCGCACGGCTTGTGGCTCCTGCCCACCATCCTGTCCCTTGTCGGCGGCTCCAAGGCGGCTCCGGAGCGCCTTGGAAAATTGTTCGAGGTGTGGGAGCTGACGCCTGGTTACAAAATCGATTTGCGGGCCAAAAACCGCCGATAGATTAATTCTACCCGCACGAGCGGATGATCCATTAAATGCGTGCCGCTGGAATACTTGTTGCTGAAAACGGACCGAGATACAGTTTAGTCATCAAGAGGGAGGATAAGAGCGTTTGTGCACCCATGTCATTGTGAGTGTCTCGTTGGGAGCTATGTTGCATCAATGTTCTGTGAATTGCATGGATTCCACAAGTCCGGACAGCATCAAGATGGGTGACCTTGAGTGAGCACTGTTGGAATGTGTGAAATCAGTTCTGGCACGTTGCACGAGTAAAAATTAGCAGGTGCCGTGGGCTTGTGATTCAACGTTCAGAATGACTGACGTGTGCCATGAAATCCTGGAAAAGAGGTCGAGTAGGAAGTGGTTGCCTTTTTGACATTTGGGGAGCGCTTCCATTTTGACAAGTCAACTCCAAAAGTCCATCAATTTATTAGAACTTAGTCCTGGAATATCTTGGGACGTACTCACTGTGTGCAACGCGCTGATAAGTTTCTGGTTTTACCATCCTATCGGTGTTTGCCGTAGCTGGGGACGCCCATGCACTAAGTGGTGTATTGCTGCACCAAACTGGAAAAACGGAGCTCTCCCCAGCTAAAGTAGCTTCCCAGATGAGTCAAACGGGCCAAGAGGTTTGCAGCATGTATCACCCGGCTGCCAAGGGCTGAGAACGCAGAGAAGGCTGGCAGATGAACGACTCGATTTGCTGTTGCCACGGCAGGTTTCAGTCTACCTTTCCATTCACAGGGTTCCATTTTGGGCCCCTATGCTTGAGCCACACCCACATAAACAACTCCAAGCGGATCTCTTAAGAAGGCTCCAGGCAAGCACAGACTTCGGTGTCCGTAAGTCATTATCTGATCACATTGCCAAACATGCCAATGGATTCGCCGAACTTGGGACTCGCAAGTCAGGCCTCTCGCACCACCCCAGAGGAGGCCTGAGCTATTTTCTGTGCGGGAGCATCGGGTGCTTGGTGCAAACTGCCCAAAGCAGTTTGTTCTCGCGCCGTGGTGTGCCTTCCGTTGTACTTGATCTATTTGTCGGCAACTTGCGCTGCGACCGAAGGCAGAGCGGAGTTCGCCGATTTTTTTCCGGACGCCGTGGGTAAATCAGGGGCCAAGACGGGCCAAGGAGCAATTCTAACTCAATATTTCTGGAGGCAGCCCAACCACCCATGGTCCATTTCTCTGTAGAAAGGTGTCGCCCAGAGTTGGGCAAGTGTTGGATATCACTTGATGTGTTGCCCAGGTTTCTGGGAGTCAGCAGTACGCATGGTGAACAAACTAGGGCAGATAAAATGCGGCAGATATGGACATTTGGACGAAATGGCTGCCGGTCTCCGTCTCCTGGACAGCCCAAAGTAGCTGTCGATGCCCAACTGTGCGCTCTCGATTGCCTCTCTGAACTTCCTGTATATTTGGCTGCATTGAGTGCATCAGAAGGCGCTGTAAGAGTTGATCAAGGAAGACAGCGGCATAAGATCCTGGGTGCAAGACAGAGGAGTCCTGCAACATGCAGCTGGCTGAATAGTGCATGCGCTACTTTTCAATCAATCAGCCTACACTGGATGTGCATTGTGTTTTAGGCGAAACAAGCTTTTGCATATTAACAGCTAAATAAAACAGATTTGGCAGAGAGTTCAAACAATATGCAGTTGTTTCACTTGCCCAAGAAGACCCATCACCACAAAGCAGGCAACTGCAAAGCAGCTCGAGCTATCGAACGAAGCACTCAGAAACAGACCAGGTGTGTGACGGCCACCATTATTCGTGGCTACTGAGGGAACAGATAGCATAGAAGAACGACCTTTTGGGAGATCAACTTTGCATAGGCTATTGCTGGACATAGGGAATCGTTCCAAGTGGGAAGCCTCAAGCCGGTCCTCAAGTGCTACCGCGAAACGAAGCCCCGCATCGCGCAAGGAAAGCGAAAAGACTGCAACAAACGATGCGGACAACGAATGCACTATGTGTTTTGCTTGCTCATTCGCATGCCCCCACGCAGCTTCTTGGGTTGCCAGCAACACAGAAGTGATAACATTCCAAGGTGGTTCTCTTCCAAATTACGGTGTTCCCTTCTCTCCGGGCCCGATAATCGCTTGCAGTTTTCACCTCAGGATTTCAACAGTTTTTTTGTTTTTAGTGTTGCTCCCCCAGTGTTCAATTTTAGCTTAGTGAGGTTTAGCATTGGCTCTACAACAGCCTTGCGAAGATCGCTGGATTGGATAAATTTGACTAGCATAGCGCGAA